TTATTGCCTGGCTGCTGGTACCAAGAGTGTTGACTGTAGAGCCAAGCAAACTAAGCTGTTGACATTTCAATCTCTTCTCTATAATGATGCAGCCGATTGGCATAATGGTGAGAATCTTTGTCTTCTTGATGTTGAGCTTCAATCCATATGCAGTCCTTGATCTTCTCCAGCAAATTCCTAGGTCCTCCTCAGTTTTGGCAAGCAAGACTGTAATCTGCATAATGAAGGTTGCTGATGAGTCTTCCTCCAATCTTGATATCACATTCTTCCACATGGAGCCTAAACTCTCATATATGTTCTGCATATATAGATTGAAATGGTATGGAGACAGGATGCTTCCCTCGGGTATACTTTTCCTAATTTTTAACAATGCAGTGTTTCCTTGCTCTGTTTTGACAACTGTCTCCTGGTCCAAATATAGGTTTTGCATAAGCACAATCAAGAGTTCTGGAAATGAGTTAGCATCTGCTAACAGCACATCCAGTGAGAATCAAAGGAACTGCACCAGGAAGTGTCCAGTCTCACAACACTTGCAGTAATACCAGGAAGTTCTTGGGAGAGTTCAGGGAAAGCAGAGGAAGTAAAAAGTATCCTTCCCCTCGTTCTCTGAGAGAGAACCGGTTCTCTCTCAAGTATCTCTTAGGGCATTTCAAAAGTATACCCTTTAGTTCTCAACCTCTGCTGCATATTTTCAGTTTCTTGGAGTTTATGTTTTTGTTTCTTGGGGGGGGGGGTTTGTATTCTTTTCATGTAATAAATACCTGTTTGCCAGGCATGTCAGTGTGCTGGAAAACAAAAGATTGTTACCTTTTGGCCATAATGAAAAGAAATTCCTTCTTTTGGAGTTTTAGGCAATATAATTTAATAGAAATCCTTTACAGAGAAGTAGAAGCAAACATTTTAATTTTTAACATGTAGACAACTGAAGATTTTTTAAGTACCATTCTGAAAAAAATACATGAATGTCTACCCTTCATGTTTATACTATACATTCTCTGACTCTTTGAATAAATATGTATGTACATGTGTATATGCCTCTTTGTACCTGAAATTAAAATTAAAATTGGTTTAGAAGTAAAAAAAAAAATAATGTCTTTCTTTTTCATACCTTTAACTGTCTTTCTGCCATTATTTTTGAACTAGGCTTGAGAAACTCTAAGAATCCTAATGGGGTACTCTTTGCCAAAATAAACTCTTTTTTACTACTGACTAAAGAAAAAGAAAAGATCAAGTATGCAGCATTCCTATATAAGTGTGTACTTACTAAAGAATAGTGCCATTCAGAATTTGTTATCTTGCAAGGGTTGTTATCAGGCTCTTTCACATTGAAATTTGCCTTTTAGAATCATGTAGGTATGAAGAAACTAAAACATTGGTAATAAATTTAACTAGCATCCCAATGTGTAAAAACTTCTTACTCAATACTAGATTTGACCATTAAATAATCATTGAAATAATCATAATAACTACAAATATATTTTAAAGTACAACTATATATCACCTTTGCTGAGTACTCCATTCTTTTTTTTTTTATTGTAACAATTGATTCTTTATTTACATTAGCCGTTTAACTCATAATAGCTCCAACTCCGGACATCTTTGGTAAAGGACCAAAGACTGATAAATTCCAGAGTGAAACCTGAGTACTCCATTCTTAGTCTCTCTCCTTTGCAAATAAGGAAATTAAGTCCTGGAAAGCTTGGCTAGAACTTTGCCAAGATCCCACAAGCCAAAGCAGCTTTCATTAAATCCAAAAGAGGACTGCAGCGTAAACACAGAGGTTTGCCATGCCCACCTCCCATGCACTATGTGAGGCATTGGGACTGACACTATTATGTTGCAATAGGTGTGGGAATGCTGAAAGTCATTACCCAGAGTTGCCCAGCCTCATTCTGTTGGTCACTCGGAATTGTTCCATCAGTTGATCAATCGGAATTGTTCCATCAGTTTAAGTGACATAAGCATTCATCTTCAATGAACCATTCATCAAAGGTTTATTTCACCCAAAAGTATTTACAGGATTCTCAATTTTTTTTTTTTGCAAGATTAACCAAAAAGATTTATTGTTTCATTTGTCTGTTGGCCATCTGAATGTCTTCCTCTGTGAAAAGTCTTGCCATGTCTTTTGCCCATTTTGTAATTGGGTTATCAGTCTTTTTCTTCTGGAGGCCCAGGGATATTCTGTAAACTTTTGCAATGAGCTCCTTGTTACCAAATGTTTGCTCCCAGGTGGTAGGTTTTCTTTTCACCCTTTGATGAGCACAGAGATTTAATCTTTAGGAAGTTCACTCATCAATTTTATCCTCTCCAGAATGTGCATTTCTGGATGTATTTTTCAGTCTCTTTATACCATAGATGAGGTCTCCGAAACTTGGCCCCATTTTGTCTCTTATGAACTTTATGGTTTTGGCCTTTACTCCCAGGTCTCTGATTCACCTTGAGTTGATTTTTCTGTATGGTGTGAGATGTGGATCCTGTTTTAACTTTCTGCAGGTAGCAGTCCAGTTTTGCCAGCACTATTTGTTGAAGAGTTTGTCACTTCTCCATCTGATAGGTTTTATTTCCTAGTCGAATATCAATTGACCATAGATGGGGATGTCCATTTCTGAGTTCTTGAATCTGTTCCATTGGTTTATGTGTCTGAAAAAAATGCTCAAAAATCATTGACAGTAAGAGAGATGTAATTCAAAACCACAATGGGATACCATCTTACCCAGTAGCATGGGCAAAGTTTAGTAGGGCAGCAAGTAATAAATGTTGGAGAGGATGTGGAGAAGTGGGAACTCTTAAACACTTTTGGCAAAATTGTAAAATGGTACAACTACTCTGGAAGACAGTTCGGTGTTTCCTCAAAAAGTTGAACATAGAAACTCCATATGGCCCAGCTATTCCACTACTGGGAACACACTCCAAAGAAATTAGAACTGAGACACAAACAGAGATTTGTACATCAATGTTCATAGCAGCATTATTCATCATTGCAAGAATATGGAAACAGCCCATATGTCCAATCACAACTTAATGGATTGAGAAATAATGGTACATTCACACAACAGAATACAATGCAGCAATCAGGAACAATGATTTTTTTAAAAAATTACATAACTTGAGAGAGACTGGGGATCATTATTGAATAAACTAACTCAGTCTCATAAGGACAAATATCGTATAAGGTGCTTATTGTAAAAATAGAAGATAACTAGTAAAGCATGCATTAGAAAACAAGGAGGGAAGGGATGAGGGTGGAGGGGTGAGGAAGAGTAGGGGAGAAATCACAAAGCTGCACAGTTTTGTGGGTGGGGGGAGTACAGGAAGGATCCAAATGAAAAGACAGGGTAATGATGAGCAAGGTCTAATGGTGATTAATTGTATAAAACATAAGCATGAGAATGATTGTATGAAATACAATGTCAATGAAGACACAGCGAGTGAAAAATAGTGTGAAATACAATGTATACAAACTTTGTAAGCAAATCTATAATAATAAAAAAAAAGATTGTTAGCTGCCACCTACAAACCCAAATCACTTCTGTATTCTTGGCCCTAATAATGAATAATAATGCCATCTGGTGGAGAAGTAAAACTGTGAGTCAGGGAGATACTTAGGATGTGTCTGTACTATTCAAACAACATGCCTGCTCCTGTTTGTCCTGAACTGCTGATTTCTACTGTTCTATGCTAGAACCCTGTCTCCCTATTCAATTACTATTTTCAGCATATCCAGGTAATTATACTCAGATAAATATGCAGGCTGTACTAACTTAGCCTGAGAGTTAAATGGTTGGTGTGTAGCACCCAAAAGAAAGGCCTGATAATCTTTACATGAGATCACACTGTTCAAAGGGAATTCTGGATTGACACAGTGACTGCCACAATGGACTTGAGTCAATCAGTGATTCTTAATGTGGAACAGGATAGGACAGGGGTCATATCTTTTGTTCATAGTATTACTATGAGTCATACTAGACTCGTCAACATTTAACAACAGTGAGTAAGCACTGACAAACCAAAGACATGCAGTTCACATCCACCAACTGCTCTGTAGAGAAAGATGAGCAATCTCCTTTCATGCTATTTATAGCCTCTGAAAATCCTCTGGAAGGTTAGCTATGAGTCCGTCATAATCTGATGGCATATAACAATAGCAGTATTAAAAACACTATAAACATAGTCTTATTTTGTATATATGGTGTAATCATGAGTCAACTGTATCTTAAAATTTACTATCTGACCTAGAGGGGAGATTAAATGAATAAAAGTGCTTTTCTAAATTTGCTTCCTCTAATACTCTTCAACTGACGTATTCCAAAGAAATTTTATACAAAACAAATAAGAGGTGTTCTTATGGCAGCCTACACCTTGGACTCAACTTTCCCTGAAAAAAAAATTTATGAAAACATACACAGCTGTGTCATTCTATTTTTTTTTTTTTAGTACAGTTAGAAAATCTAGTCTTAAATGTCACAGTCCTGAACACTGAGGAAAAAAATTGTTGGAGGGAGAGACTCTTCAGAGAATCAACACTTGCACTACAACATGCCTCCAGAAACTCTATGAACTTTGATAAATGTTGATAGCTATAGAAAGGCTTCGGGCCTCTTGTTCATAGGTTCACTATGAGTCATGCTTGACTTGAAGGCAATCAACAAACAACAACACAACAACATTATGTCAAAAAAGATAAGGAAAGAAAACAAAATCATCCTTATTGGCTGTCAATGTGCCTTCATTAAAAGAAGATAAGGCATAATTTCAGAATAAAAAATTCTTTTCAAATAGGGACAGTTAAGAACCTCAGTAAAAATTTTTGCTTCAGACTAATAACAGCCCAGTTGGGATTTTGAGGCATGGATAAAGTAACCCTAGGTTTACACAACTCCAAATTATACCCATTCCAAGCTAAGAATTTCCTCACTTGATGTACCACTTGAACTTCCTGGCATCACACTGAGAGCCCTGTTTGTCCAAGTGGGCATGAACAGGGTAATTGAAGTACATACCTGCATCTGAGTTCGAAGTAGCTTTTCGATTTGAAATGAGTAGGTATCATTGCTGACATTATTGTATCTCTGAATTAAGAAACTGAGTGTTGCATTCATGTTTTGCTTACTCATGGGCTTCTCCTGGAATCCCTCCCATCTTTGGAAATGGCCCAACTTGGCCACGAGGACCAGGGCAGCCAGAAACAAGGATTTCTTCCAGCTTCCAACTCTCATCTCCACAGTCTCAAAGTTTTCTCTCCAGCTGACCTTTGAAGGTGAGGAGGTTCCAGGCAGCAGCTCACCCTTCCTCTGCAGCAGCCTTGTCCACACAGGCTCTCCCAGGAGACAATCTGCCTGCATTTAAACAAAGACTTAAGCCTGGATCTTGTCTTCCAAGGTCCTTCCCAGTTTGATAGGAAGGCAAGTCAACACATTCTCCTTGCCTGGCACCCCAGCCTACTCAACAGTCTTGTTTCCACACTTGTGATGTACATTCAGTTGTCTGGTGATCTAAGCAAGTTGTTGCTGTGTGCCATTGAGTTGGAAATAACTTATAGTTGACCCTTCAGTGCATATCGTGGAGGAAGGGAATGTCCATTCCTGTCCTGCAGAGCAGCTGGTGGATTTGAACCACATGTCTTTGCATTGGCAGCTTACCACTAGGCCACCAGAGCTCCAAAGCAAACAGAACTTCTAAAGATTTGCTAAAGTTGTGCTCTGTATTCAAACCTACCAAGGTAGGAACCGAAATTCACTAAATAATGCTGAACTCTAAGATCTGGTGTGATAGTACTAGCTCTAAGAGCTAGTATGATATACCTATTTTTGTGTTCCATCTGCCTAAGTCATCAACAATTCCTTGTACTTTCCTAGACACATATTCCCCTTACTTACCTGCAACTACTTCACAACAAATTTCTGCCTGCTGGTTGTCCTGACACTAGCTCTTGTTATCTTGCTGTGACCCCAATGGAGCTTTGTGAGGTAATCTCAGCTGACCTGTGAGGGAAGAATAAAGCATGATATCTATTCAGAAATTAATCCTGTATATACCTGGTGATTGGAGGTCACGTACATCTAGAAATCCATGAAAGCTTTCTATTTTTAAAACACTTGCTAAGGCATTATCCTGTATAGAATTCTGCTCCAGAAAAAAGAAACACTGTGGAACAATTGGCAAAATGTGAATGGAATTTTTGTAGTTTTGTATAACTGTTAATTTCCTAGTTTCACCATTTTTACAGTTACATAAAACATTAACATTTGAGAAACTAGATAAGAGGTATAAAAAATACTCTTTTTCATTATTTTTATGAAACAAATTATTTTAAAAAGAAAAAATTTTAAATCTTAGAAATTACTAATATGTTGATCTGAGAAGGAGGGTAATATAATGAAGGAGGCATAGGCTTTAAACCCAACTATCCCAAGGTATGCAGATTATATAGCCTTGCTTACAAAAGCAAAGAACTGAAATAATTATTTCAAAAGATCAGAGACTATAGACTTCAATATGGGTTATATCTCAAGGCCAATTAAACAAAAATTCTTACCTCTGGACGAATATGCAACACGAAGACTGAGAAAAGAGTGAAATTGTCAATGGTTTCATTGTATTTGTATATACAATCAACACTATATACAATCAACACTCACAGGAGCAATAATAGTTAAGAAATTAAAAAAACAAAACCCAACATGCTGCATTGGGAAAATCTGCTGCCAGGGACCTCATCAAATTTCTATAGGGCCTGGATGTAAGTTTAAAGACCAAGAAGTGTCTGAACCAAGCCATGGTATTTTATATTGCTTTGTATGCACCTATGACATAGCTTCATTTTGTCTTCCTTATCCAGACATCCTCCCTTGGTATTTCCAAAGTCAGTCACTAAAACGCAGACTGAGATTGTTAAAAGTTCATTCTGTAGTTGAATATAAACATATACAACTATAATACACTAAATGTATTTTGGCCATAATAAAATTGACACAATTCAAACATGCTACAAAATAAGACAAACAATGGGAGACCATTCTGTGATCAAAGATTAAGGAAGATAAGACCCCCACATTGGAACAAAGCGTAGCTCTGCCTGAAGGTTAATGTTCAGCCAGTTCCCAATTCAGAAAAACTGTATTGAGCATCTCATCAATGCCTCATACAGTGGTCTATGCATGACCTTACATACAGGACAAGAAAGAATGCAGTTCCTGCAACAGAATATGAACCAGTACCATACGAAGCTACATGCACGTGGGCAACCTCTCATAATAAGTGATGCAAACCACATCCCAGAAGCCTTTGCAATAGACTCTATATTCAATATTATTTGTGCGTGCACCTGTTTTCCATAATCCTGCCTTTCTCCCATCTATACTTGAGACAATAATGAGTAAACAGGTTTCCTATCTGCAACTTTTTCCAAGTTCTGGACAAATTTTGTTTAGAGAGATAGAGTCAGTATTTCATGGTCCCTCTCCAGCTCCACTCTACCTCTAATACTTATAAACTAACTTGCCTAATAAAACTTGATTCAGTACATGAAAAACAGTCACCTACAAAAGAGAAACAATTAGATTAAGATCTGATTTCTCAGCAGAAACCATTTGAGCAAGAAGACAATGGGATGACATATACAGTAGGTTGAAAGAAATCAATTGCCAGCCAAGGATCCTGTACCCAGCAAAGCTAATCAAATATGAATGAGAAAGTAGGTCATTTGCAAAAAAGCAGAGCTTAAGGAATTTGTGGGGGAAAAAACCAACACACAATCAAACCTACATAAAATTCTTAGAGAAGTCCTTCAAACAGAGACACCAAAGGAAAGCAGATAGACCACAATAAACAGAAATAACAGAGAAGGAAACACAGCAACAATGGCAATTATAAAACCTGTCCTGTAAATAATCACACTTAATGTGAATGGATTAAATGCACCAATTAAGAGATAAAGATTTGCAGAATGAATTTTTTTAAAGGTGTCTATCAATACAAGAGACACATCTAAGAAATGAAGAAAAAATAGACTAAAAATCAAAAGTTGGGGTAAAATATACCGAGCAAATGGCATATACAAAAAAGCAAGAATGGCAATACTACTCTCTGATAGAATAGAATTCAGTATGAAAACCACCAAAAAAGAAAAGGAAGGAGCTTCATTACTTAATAACTAAAGGCACAGTAGATTAGGAAGACATAACCTTAGTCAACATCTACATACCAAATAATAGACTTGTAAAATACATTACACAATGGCTAATAGAATTGAAGAAAGAACTAGACAGCACCACAATAGTGGTAGAAAGTTTTAACACCACTCTCACCAAAAGACAGCACACTCAAAAGAAACTTAACAAAGATGCAGAAGATATACTATACTTATATAGTATACTATGTAAGCCGCTAACTTGACCTTGTAGATGTATTCAGAGACTACACTCAACCAAGTCAATTTATTTTCTTCTCAAGTGCACATGGTACATTCTCCATAACTGATCATGTACTAGAACATAAAGTAAGCCTCAACACTGAAATAATATTTTTTCAGAACACAATGACATAAAACTAGAAATTAATGACAAGATGATAAAGCATATAAAGTCACCCACGTGGAAGCCAAATAATATCCTGTTAGAACATAATTGGGATATATACGAAATAAAAAGTGAAAACAAAAGTTCCTTGAAACAAATGGAAATACAAATACAACATATAAAAACCTCTGGAATGCAGCTAAGTCAACCCTCAGGGGGCAGTTCATAGCAATAGGCAAACACATTAAAAACTGAAGAAGCAAAATTAATGATCTAACTCAACATTTCTATAATAGAAAGAAGAAGAAAAAAAAAACAAAGCACCAAGCCAATATAATACCACAGCCTCTAGAAGAAGGGAAAGTTTAAGGACAAGAGCTGAAATTAATGAGCTAGAAAACAGGGGGGAAAAACCCAAATGAAACCACAACAAGATCAAGAGCTGATTCTTCACACCCTTGACATACCCTTGGCAAACTTAACAAAAGAAGAGAAAGATAAGTCATAAACAATTAGAATAAAAAACGACAGAGATTACATCATAATAGAACCTGATGAAATTAGATTGATAATACTGGGATATAATGAAAAGCTATACCTCAAGCTGCAATACTTAAGGATGTTTTGGGCAGAATATGAAATGATCCAAGAAGCATTAAAAGAAGATGGAAAGAGTATACAGAGTCATTGTTACCAAATGGAATTGGTGACACAGAAGAATTTCATGAAACAATGTATAAACAAGAACCTGTGGTGATGAAGGAAGAAGTTCAAGCTTCTCTTAAAGAATTGGCAAAAAACAAGGCCCCAGGAATTGAAGGCATACCAGCTGATATATTTCAACAAGCAAATGCTGCCCTGGATGTGCTCACAAGTCGTATCAAGAAATCTGAAGGACAACCACCTGGCCAACAGACTGGAAGAGATTTATATTTGTTCCCATTCCAATAAAAGGTGATCTGACAGGGTGTGGAAATTATTGAACAGTATCATTGGTGTCACATGCAAGCAAGATTCTGCTGAAGATTATCCAAAAATGACTAGAATAGCACATCAACAGAGAACTGCCTGAAGTGCAGGCTTGGTTGAGAAGAGGTCATGGTACTAGGGATATTATAACTAATGTCAATGGATCTTGGATGAAAGCAGAGAGTACCAGAGGAATGTCTATCTATGTTTCACTGACTATACAAAGGCCTTTAACTGTGTAGATCACAACAAACTGTGGCTTACTCTGAGAAGAATGGGAATCCCAGAACTCTTGATTGTGCTTATGTTAAGCCTATACTTGGACCAGGAGGCAGTCATCAGAAAAGAGAAAGGAAATACTGCATGGTTCAAAACTGAGAAGGGTATGAGCCAAGGATGTGTCCTACCTCCATCCATACCTTTTTCAGTCTCTGTGCGGAACAGATTATCCAGGAGGCTGGGCTCTATGAGGGGAAATGTGGCATCAGGATTGAAGGTAGACTCATCAACAATCTGCATTAGGCACATGATACAACCCTGCTTGTTGAAACTAAGGAAGATCTGAAGCTCTTGCTGTAGAAGGTCAAGGACTGAAGCCTTCAATATGGATTGAAGCTCAATACCAAGAAAACAAAGATTCTCATCACTGGGCAGATTGGTAGCATCATGATGGTGAAGAGATTGAGATTTTCAACAGCCTCAGTTCACTTGGCTCTACAATCAACAGTCTT